AAAAAAACAAAAAAAATCAACATTTATGATGATAACAAAGTCAACGCTATGCAAAACATTTCTAGTCACACAAAATATCCAATCTGCACAGCTTGTAATATTTACTATGAATATTATGTTCATATGATTTTCAATATATATAATAAACACATCACTCACTATGCATATTAAGTTCATTATGCACATTACTTGTGATTTTCACCTAATTCTTTTTTTTGTGACCTACTTATATTCAGTATTTCAATTTTCTTCAAATATTTGCATGTGTGTACTACTGCATGACTCAGTACAAAATGTGTCAGTAACAAAATATAAAAAATAATGTAAATAGCTACACGAAGATCAGCCCTCTCTCACCAGCTATTTCCAAGAGCTATATACATTCAAACAATCTGTACAATATCAAAGTTGCTTTTTAAGATCTGATATATATAGAGAAGAAAAAAAAAGGATCCTAGTCGCTTCTGCAGCCAGATCTTTTTTCCTTTTTTTAAGGGGTGTGGGGAGGGAGAACTGAGTTGTCATCAATAAAATGAGTCGGTCTCCAAGACCCGTCAATGACTCAACAAAGCATCAAACCCCTTTCTTTATTTCAAGTGGATCCCTAAGCATGAAAACCCAGGAATCCAACAAATAACTAAAGGCCTTTCCACATGAGGGGCACAATCTGCGGACACATCGGAGGGCAACTGTAAAGGTGACATCACTAACAAGAATAGAATACAATGAGGAAACTACCATTTAACCAAGTAATTTGTCCGCCTGTGATGTCATCTCTACCTGTGCTCGCCTATGAGCCCATCGATCGTGCCTACTCGTGTCTGCAGGCTTTTAGGGGCATTCACCTGTTGTTTGCAATTAGGCTAGCTCACAAAACTCATAATAGCAAGCTCCCATATTTATTTAAAATCTAAAGAATTATTGCAATAATGACATTACATAACTAACCAAAAACAATGGAAACCTAGCTATCCTCCAATAGATAATGCATGCATGTGAAATGTACAATGCCTCCTGTGGGATATATGTGTGTATATATATATATATATATATATATATATATATATATATATATATATATATATATATATATATATATATATATATATATATATATATATATACATATATATAAAATAGTTACCAAGGTGCATATGTAGTATGCCTGGCTAACAGATTTGGAAATAGACATCAGAACTTCAAAAATATTTTTTTTCAAAGGAATACTCTCACTTGCTTTATATGCTTAAGGTATCTTTTACACCGTTATTCTATTGCACTCATTTCTCAGGGAGTAAAGATTAAATGAAGCTAATCCAAGAAAATATATATTTTTTTTTTACTGTGTAATTCCCTTTTTCATGACCGATTGGAAGACTTTGACATTTGTATAATAATGCACCATAATCAAGTAAAAGTTCCTTGGAGATTCAGTTAAAAATAGGTCTTGTATTTTTTTAATGAATAAATTGATGTTATTGATATGTAAATTTTTCTGTTTTTCTCTTATTTCAGACATTCTGATTCCAGGAATCAAACTAGATACAATGATTACTGTACCTATATAAAAAAAAATATATCAAAATCCTATCATAAATTTGTTTCATACCTGTTTTGGGGTCTTTAAGAAAGAACATATATCTAAATGTCTTTTGGCATACGAGAAGAGAACACTGACACAATAAGGATTCTTGGAAATGAACTGTACCATCTTTACTGAAAAATATCTTGAAGTCATAGCATACCTTCGGAATCCAAACTGGGGAGAAAACTTGCAAGAGAAATTGTACTCAATAAGGCTACTGTATGTACTATGATCTCTCAAGATCATATGAAAGGCATCCTGAGCACGAAAAGTAATAATGTCTTTGATGTAACTTATTTCGAGTAATTTTTCTTTTTTAAGTTGAAGAGGTATTATATATCAAAGCATAAATAAATAACACATCTGACACTTAATGGAGCATAATCCAGTAATAAATTTCAGTTTCAAGTAAATGCTGATCCAAAACTTCTTTTTTCAGTATTGACTATCACTTGCACACTCGGGAAAAAATATGAATTCAATGTATTAGAGAACTTGTACAGTTTGCAAATACATCCAGAAAAGCAAAATTAATAAATATACTTTCCAAAATCATATTATTCAGTAGACAATATATCTATGTAGATATATATATTGCAATTTTTCCCTTTTATAAACAGCCTTCCTAAATTTCATAACATTTCCTAAAAAAGTAAAATGATACTTTTCAAACTCACGCAATATATATCTGTGTGTGTGTGTGTGTACATGTACATGTACATGAACATGTACGTATACACATACATATGCACATACATACATATACATACATACATATACATACATACATACATATACTTATATATATATATATATATATATATATATATATATATATATATATATATATATATATATATATATATATATATATATATATATTGTATATATATATATACATTAGCATTTACCATG